ATGTAGTTGGACACAATATCCTTATTTTATTTTTAAGTGGTGCTGAGGATCAAATCCAGTGCCTCGCACGTGCTAGACACTCTACCACTAAGCCCCAGCCCCAGCCCTACAATATCTTTATTTTTTATTTTATTTTTTTATGTTGTGCTGAGGATTGAACCCAGTGCCTCACACGTGTGAGGCAGGCACTCTACCACTGAGCTGCAGCCCCAACCCTAAATTGTCAATTTAAAAAAAATTTTTTTTTAGTTGTAGAGGGACACAATGCCTTTATTTATTTATTTTTTAAATTTAATTTTATACAGTGCTGAGGGTCAAACCCAGTGCCTCACATGTGCTAGGCAAACACTGTATTACTGAACCACAACCCCAGCCCTCAATTGTCAACTTTAACAGAAAGTGTTTGCTATTTTATCAAGCTGGTTCATTCATATGAAGTGAATTTGAAGGTCTGATAATACAGTTAACTTGCCTAAGATATTCTGTCCAGAGCTGAACTCACAGGAGATATACTTACGAAGTAAGGAGCAAAGCCATGGGAATATTTATATAGTATAAGGCTAGCAATTCCCTTAATTATTTTTTTAAAGGTAGAGAGAGAGAGAGAGAATTTTTTAATATTTATTTTTTAGTTATCGGAGGACACAATATCTTTGTATGTGGTGCTGAGGATCGAACCTGGGCCGAACGCATGCCAGGCGAGCACACTACGGCTTGAGCCACATCCCCAGCCCCCCTTAATTCTTGCTTAAGAAAAAAAATTATAATGAAGAATTTCCATTTGGAAACCCTACTTCTTTACTCTAAGAGCTGAGATATTTTATTTTAAAATATGTGTATGTGTATTTATGTGGACATACATACACACGTACATAAATCCGGTCAAGAATGCTGCAAAACTTTTTTTTCACTTTTAATCCTTTGATTTTTTGAAATAAATTTCAAACTTATTTTTTTTTTTAGAGAGAGAGAGAGAGAGAGAGAGAGAATTTTAATATTTATTTATTTATTTATTTATTTTTAGTTTTTCGGCAGACACAACAACTTTGTTTGTATGTGGTGCTGAGGATAGAACCCGGGCCGCACGCATGCCAGGCGAGCGCGCTACCGCGTGAGCCACATCCCCAGCCCGTCAAATTTAATTTCAAGAGTAGAAAACACCAGTATACCCTTCTCCTAGATTCACCAGTTAACATTTTGCCTCGAGGATTTATTATTATCCACATAACCCTCATACCTTTATTTTTAAAAAATTTTTTTAGTTATACACGGACACAATATCTTTGTTTATTTTTATGCAGTGCTGAGGATCAAACTCAGTGACTTACATGTGGGAGGCAAGTGTTCTGCCACTAAGCAACAACCTCAGCTCCTGTACCTTTATAATTAATTTTGCTGAACCATTTGAGAATATGTTGAAGTCATCATGACTCTTTACTTTAAATACTTCACAGATTTCCTAAGAACAAGAACATTCCTTACATGATAATAGAAGAATTATAAAATTTAGACAATTTAACATTGATAAAATGCTGTTATTATTCATATGCATATTTTAAATGTCCTAATCACGACTTTTATAGAACTTTTTCTTTTCCTTAGTTGTCATATTTCTTTAGTTTTCTTTAATCTGGGATAGTTCCTCAGGCTTAATCTTTTGTGACATTAATGTTTTTTTGTTTGTTTGTTTTTAAGTTGGACACAATACCTTTGTTTTTATTTATTTATTTACTTGTTTTTTATGTGGTGCTGAGGATTCACGCACTAGGCGAGCACTCTATCACTGAGCCACAACCCCAGCCCCATGACATTAATATTTTTGAAGAGTGCAGGTCATCTACTTTTGTAGAATGTTTCATAATTTTGAGTTATCTAATTTTTTCCTTACTTTTATGCATTTTTGGAAAAATACTATATAAGTACTGTTATGTCTTCTCAGAGCATTATATAAGAAAGCATATAATGTTGCTTTGTCTCATTATTGGGAATCTTAACTTTAATGACTTCGTTAAGATTGTATCTGCCTTGTTTCTCCACTGTACAGTTGTCATTTCTCCCTTTTATAACTAACAAGGAAGCAATGGGGAGGTATTTTGAAACTACCTTAATTGTTTGCTGTCTATCAAACTTTCACACAGTGGTTTTAGTATCCATTTTGCCTGAATTATTTATAATTATACGTTTCAAAATGGTAACATTTTAATTTATTTTCTTGATAAACTGTGATAAATGTTAGGAGCAGAGGAGAGTTGTTGAAGATTGAATTTCCAAAAGTTTTGGAAATGGCACTTTTTTTTCCATTTTTCATTTTCAGAAGATTCTGTGCCCACACCTGATGAAGTTAGCATGCTGACAGCAATTGCACTCTTCCTGTGGTCTGCTAGTAGTGAAATAATAGGAGTCCAGTCATTACAGAATGGCTGCATGAACAGATTTAAAAATGCATTAAATTCATGTGACCCATGGGTAAGTTACACCTAAGCAAACATTCCACTTTATCAGGAGAATATCTGGTTGATTCATTAAAATGTGTTATATATAAGGAAAACCTAAGTATTTACAGTAAGAGTTTTAAATGGAAAAACTAGAAAATATCACTGGGTTTAACTATAGGAGAAACACATTTGTATGTTTACTTAAATATGCAGAAATTCTCTAATATCTTTGATTAGTTCTCGGCCATATTAAGAGAGACTTTTCAGGGTTTCCAATATTTATTTAAATGATACCCACTACATTAATGGATAAATTTATATTATTACATATTTTAATAAGCGTATTCGAAACTTGTTTGTTTAGAAAACATGTTTTATTATTTTACAGTGTTGAAGTCTAAAGTTATGATTATCAAATCTTCTGCGTATCAGGAAAAATAAAACAACTTAGGAACATTCCTGGCCTCCTAGCTCCCTGAATCAGAGTCTTCAGAGTTGTGACTCAGGAATCTGTATTTTTAAAATGCTCCCCAGGTATTTCTGATGTCAGTGAAGTTTGGCAATTTGTATTCTACAAAGTGCTGAAACAATTTTATTCCACTATTTTCCCCAAATATTTATAACTTTTCTTCCTTCCCTTCTTCCTTTTTTAAAAAATAATTATTCATATGAAGTTTTTCTAATCTAAAAGCCAGTGAGACTTTATTTTCTATGGCTGCAAAACTTAAATTGGTATAAAGAATTATTTCGAGAGATTCAGATTTTTTTGAGAGGTTTATTCAGTTAGCTTATTGAAAGAAAGTTCCATTACTCTCTTTAATTTCTCTTATATGGAAAATAACGTTTATATTTTCATTGTGCTGTATTACATACATATTAAAATGTAATGTGATTGTACAGCAGATAAGAACTATCATGTGTTAATTGATTGAATGATCTCCTTACATAGGTTCAAGCCAAATGTTACCAGCTTCTCCTCTCAGTCTTCCAGCATTCCAACCGTGCCCTTTCAACTCCCTACATCCATTCATTAGCTCCCATAGTGGTTGAAAAGCTAAAAGCTGTTGAAAGAAACAGACCAGCCAGTAACAATGAACTTTGGGCTGTTCAAGAAGGAATTAAAGTTCTTGAAACATTGGTTGCTCTTGGTGAAGAACAGAACAGTAAGTATTTTTAATAAAAAGCCATTACTCCAAAATGAAGATCTGTATTATACATAAATCTTATTTGATATTGGACATAAGCATTTGCAACAGTAAGTTTACTAAGGAGCAATTACTGTCTGAAAGCATAATATATTTGCTTATGTTAGTAACATAATGCATTGAATTGATTATTTTTATGAGCAGAAAGTCTCAATGAATTACTGATGATATTTCAACATACTGAGTTTTAAATTTTCTGGGAATATATCCTTTAAGACTGAGGAAAAGTACATATGTTCAATAGATTTTTTAAAATATTTTTTTAGTTGTAGTTGGACACAATATCTTTATTTTATTTGTTTATTTTTATGTGGTGCTGAGGATCGAACCTAGTGCCTCGAACTTGCTAGGCAAGCACTCTACCACTGAGCCACAGCCCCAGCCCCAGATTTTTTTAAATGGAGCTTCTCATATGCTTGATGGTTTGTTTGTTTATTTATTTATTTAGTATTTCAACTTTTTAAAATTTTTTAAATTGATTTTTTTAAAAATAAATGACAGTGGAATGCATTACAATTTGTATTACAACATATATAGCACAATTTTTCATATCTCTGGTTGTATATAAAGTATGTTCACACTAATTGGTGTCTTCATACATATACTTTGGATAATGATGTCCATCACATTCCACGATGCTTGCTAACCCTCTGCCCCTTCCCTTCCCCTCCCACCCCTCTGCCCTATCTAGAGTTCGTCTATTCCTCCCATGCTCCCTGCTCCCTACCCCACTATGAATCAGCCTCCTTATATCAGAGAAAACATTGGGCATTTGTTTTTTGGGGGGATTGGCTAACTTCACTTAGCATTATCTTCTCCAATGTCATCCATTTACCTGCAAATGCCATGATTTTATTCTCTTTTATAACTGAGTAATATTCCATTGTGTATATATGCAACATTTTTTTTAATCCATTCATCTACTGAAGGGCATCTAGGTTGTTTCCACAGTTATTGGGAGCAAATTTTTACCCCTCACACATCCGATAGAGCACTAATCTCTACGGCATATAAAGAACTCAAAAAGCTAAGCATCAAAAAAACCAAATAACCCAATCAACAAATGGGCCAAGGACCTGAACAGACACTTCTCAGAAGATGGTATATAATCAATCAATAAATATATGAAAAATGTTCTACTACCTTTCCAATTTCCTGTGAATAAAATTTTAAGAGAAGGAGTATTTGAAAATGAGATAATTAAGAAAAAGTTGAGGGCTGGGGTTGTGGCTCAGTGATAGAGCACTTGCCTAGTGCATGTGAGGCTTCAATTCTCAGCACCACATAAAAATAAATAAATACATAAATAAAGATATTGTGTCCATCTACAACCAAAAATTTTAAAAAAAATTGAGTGATAGTGTTGAATGACAGGAGAAAAGGTTATAACTCCCTTGACAAGGATGGAAGAGCCATTGGGCCAGACAGTAGGCATAAGATTAAGACATTGCCACTTTCTTCTATGACATCTAACCATCATTTTTTTCAGAAAAATAGAAGGGTCATTGGAAGAGTAGAAGTGTGCTTTGCATGTAGGGGGACCCATTGGGGAGGAAGGAGGCAAGGGTAAGGGGAAGAACTGGGGTATGTAGTTAACCAAATTATTCTAGGTGCATGTATGAATATATCACAGTGCATTCCAATTTTATATGTAACTATAATGCATCAAGTGAAAAATAAGTACATAGAAGGAAGACCAATAGAAAAGAGGAAGGGAACCAGAGAGGAAGCAAAGGAAAGAGAAGAGGTAAGTAGTATTAGGATTGAAATGGAAAAAACTATGTTACTTCTTTTATGAATATGTCAGAATGAACTCTACTTTTATGTATAACTATAATGCACTGAAAAATAAACTTTAAAAAGTCAAGGATAAAACAAATTCAAGAATTGAAAATTCATGCAGTGGCTCCAGAGGCTGAGGCAGGAGGACTGCAAATTCAAAGAAGCCTCAGCAACTTAGTGAGACCATGCTTCAAAATAAAAAATATAAAAAGGGCTGGGGATGTGCTCAGTGGTTAAGTGCCCCGTAGCACCAAAAGAAAGGAAAAAGAAAATTTACCCCTTTGGAATCATATCACTCAATATAAAGGTAAGTCTAAAAATGTTGCTGTCAAATTAATATATTTATTCATTTATTTGATGGTACCCTCCTAATGAATGTTCTATTCATTAATAAGATTCATTTGCCTTTGTGTGTGGGGGGGGTACTGACATTGAACAGGGCCTTAAGCACACTAGGCAAGCATTCTACCACTGAGCTACACCTGCACTGTGTTTAGCCTTAGATTTTAATTTTTTTAAAAGCCAGCTACTTTTTCTACCTTTTAAAAGTCTTGGTATATATATAATACAAAAACATTTGTAATCTGAATAAAACTGTCCATTAAAAAATGGAAAAACCATGATGGTGATACATCTTATTTGATGTATCTTATTTAATTCTTATTTAAAATGGGTTATTTACTTCAGAGGCATTGCTGGAGTCTAATTTGCTATTAAACCATAAATTACACAAATAATACTTGAATATATTCTTATTATTAAAAATATCAAATAGGCACTCTCACATCAGACCAATCTTTGTTGTTATCTTTGTTATTTACAGGAGTCCAGTTACTTGCTCTTTTAGTTCCCACTTTGATTTCTTACCTGCTGGATGAAAATTCTTTTGCCTCAGCAAGTTCAGTTTCTAAAGATCTTCATGAGTTTGCACTCCAGAACTTAATGCATATTGGACCTCTGTATCCACATGCTTTCAAGACGGTAATGGGGGCTGCTCCTGAGTTGAAAGTGCGGCTAGAAACTGCTGTTCGAGCAAGCCAAGCCAGCAAGGCTAAAGCTGCTGCGAGGCAGCCAGCTCCTACCATACATTCTGCACCGACAATCAAGCTAAAAACAAGCTTTTTTTAATGTGTTTCTCCACTCATTTTTATATGTATTTCACCTAATTAGTGGTAGCCACTGTACCATTCCAGGCTGTGGATTCTATTTTATTTGTATATTGGTATTATAATGCTTCCAAGTAGGTTAAGGAAGTCTTGTTCATACCACTATTGATTTTTAAGTGATTTTTAAAAATTATGTGGTGAGTATGTTTTCATTTTTCTGCTAATAATGTTTCTCTTTTATTAATTTTTCATTGTTTTGTTTTTGGTTTTTGTGGTGCTGGGGATTGAACCCTGCGCCTTGCACATGCTAAGCATGCACTGTACTACTGAGCTATACCCCCAAGCCCTAATTTATTTTTTAAACACTGAACCATAGTCTTTTACATGCTGAATATATAATTGTATCGTGTACTGGGACAGACTGTGGACATTATCAGGGGAAAAAATAGGTCAAAATTCAGCATTTGTCATGAAAAATTCCATTGCAAAATAAGTAAATTTTAAATTTTCGAGAAACCAAAATAATATAAAGTCTCTTTCGTGGTGTACCTACTATGAATAAAATCACATTTTTTAAACATTTCTCAAAATATTCTCTTCTGATGTATCTTTTCACTTTAATATTAAATTACTGAATTGTGTTTGTGTATATTTTAGTTGTTAATTGAATTAAAGTTCTTATCTAAAGGTCCATTAAAATGTTTCTAATGTAGTATAATGTTTCTATCTTTTTTTATGTTTTGTAATTACAGAGACTCAGGTTCTGACTGTGATGGTTAGTTTCATTCATCAAATATTTATTGAATGCCTACTGTGTATAAGGCATCAAGCTAAGTGCTTCAGGGCATACAAAAATGAATTAGTCATAATTATAGTTATGCTAGTCTCTTATGCGATGGGAATTTTTCCTTGCAAAACAGATAATTGATTAAATGAATGTATACCACAGCATTTAGCAGATTTTAAACACCAAATTTTACCAGACAATGTAACAGACTATATCAAAAGCAAGTGACTTTTCTGAACATTTCAAGCTATATATTTATTTATCACTTGCTACTTGACATTTATTCTCACTCATACCTACACCATTTGGCAGCTAGCTTATAGATCCTTGCTTTCTTCCTGGCTCAGTCTTTTAAATACCTCAGAAAGTCACTTTCTCTCACCTGTTTTCTCACTGACTTTTATTTCTACAGAGTTGTTTTTCGTTTCTGACTTGAGTTTCCAAAGTTATTCTTGTTTTTTTTTGTTTTTGTTTTTGTTTTTAATTTTGATAAAAGTCTATAAAATGACTTCACATATTATACAATTAATCTATTTAAAGTGTACAATTCAGTTGTTTTTATTATAATCACAGGGTAGTACAACTCTCACTATAGTTAATTTTGAACATTTTCATTACTCCCAAAAGAAACTCCATATTCTTTACCTGTCATCTCACAATTTTCCACTTCCCATCAGCCTTAGGCAACTGATAATCTACTTTCTGTCTCTATAAATTTTCTACAGTGGTATTTCACATAAATGAAATCATATAATATGTGGTCTTTTGTGACTGGTTTCTTATCTGTGCATAATATTTCAAGGCTCATCCATGTTGTAGTGTGAATCAGCCATCCATTCCTTTTTATGGCTGAATAATATTCCATTGTATATATGCCACATTTTATCATCCACTGATATATTTTATGAGTTGAAGGACATTTGGTTGCTTTCACTTTTTGCCTTTTATGAATATGATGCTCTGAATAATTATGTACCAGTTATTGTGTAGATATATATATTTGTGTGTATGTGTGTGTGTGAGCATCTCCCTACTAAGTCCTCAGGGCCTCACTAAATTGCTGAGGTTGGTCTTGAAATTTCTATCCTCCTGCCTCAGCCTCCTGAGTCACTAGGATTACAGGTGCACACCACCATGCCCAGCTGGATACATGTTTTAATATCTTTTGAGTATATCCCTACTAGTGGAATTGCTGACTCAAATAGTAACTTTATATTTAACTTTTTAAGGCACTGCCAGACTGTCTTCTACTCTCATTTTTTGCACACATGCATGTGTGCACGTATCTCCTTTTCAGTCATCTATTTATATAATATATTTATTTCTGCCTTGGCTATTTTTTGCTGTTCTTGGTACCTCTCAAACTTTTCCCATCATTTCCCCTTTTAGGGTAGACTGCATCATATCTTAGTAATGTCTCTCTTCCCCTCCTCCCTGCCTGTCTCCTTTTTTTCTCTCTCTCTCTGTTAGTACATCTTTATTCTTTCTCTAAACCTTTTTAAGCCATTGATAACTTAAATTCTAGTTTTCTACATCAATTCTGTTTGATGCTTTGTATTTATTAATATTTCCCCAGCCCATGAGATTTTTACAACCCAAATAATCATATCTATTTAGATTATAACATCCAGTGTCATAAAGCTAAAAGAAGAAGCAGCATTATAGCCAGTGAATTCTGAAGCATGATCTAAGTAGTTTTAATAGCATAAGCAATAAAGTATCTTCTGTTTGCTTTCCAAGTTCTCATTAATCAATATTATAGGTTTGGTTTCTCAATTTATCTAGAGAAAAATGAGCTCTGAAGTCAGGTGTCCCTGTTCTGAATAGATTCTACTAGTCACAGGGATAAAATACAGGACCACATCTACAAAATGAGAGGAAAATTTACTAGGTATATTTTCTTTGATCTTTTACATATCTAAAAAGTACATCTGTCTTCATAGTTATTTGCTTATTTTTATCAAGAGTGAATCTTTGAATAATCCTTTAATATTGGCAAATAATAATAATATTAGGTTTGATAAATAGTCTTTACATGTGTGTAAAATTGTTGTTACAGTATGAGAGCATAAAACATTAAATATGTAATGCAGGCACAGAAATTATAAAGTATTGCAGATCATGGGGCTTGGGTTGTGACTTAGTGGTAGAGGGCTTGCCTAGCACATGTGAGGCACTGGGTTTGATCCTCAGCCACATAAAATAAATAAATAAATGAAGTTGCAAAAAAAATATTGCAGATCATTACTATCAGTAAAAGCTACCATTTCTCGGCTGGGGCTATAGCTCAGTGGTAGAGCGCTTGCCTAGCAAGTATGAGGCCCTGAGTTCGATCCTCAGCACCACATAAAAATAGATAAAAGCTGCCATTTCTGTTGAATGCCAGACATTATGTTAGACACTTTATATTCATTATGTCTTCCGTTCAAACAATACTGAATGATGGATATAATTAGCCAATTTCCAAAACATTTAATTTATGAAATAACTATTTAATTATATGCATTACTATTCCTCACATTTGGGGGGGTGGGTATCAGGGATTGAAGTCAGGGATGTTTAACCACTGAACGGCACCCCCACCCCTTTAAAGAATTTTTTTTATTTTGAGACAGTGTGTCACTAAATTTCTGAGACTGACCTTGAACTTGCAGTCCTCCTGCCTCAGCCTCCTGAGTCAGTGGGATTACAAACCTGTGCCACCATACCCAGCTACACATTTTCTTCATTCTTAATTGGAATTTTTGTGTTTGTGTAAGAAATGGCTAACATATAGCTATAAATAAATTTCTTGCCTTAATACTTTCCATCAGATGGGTTATTTTTAAAACCTGATTTAATCATTATAAGTTCATCTCTAGTTCTTTCTTATAGAGCTCACAGAATTTTACTTAAGAATTTTATATATCATAATTCAGAAAAACTATCCCAGGTTTTTATAAAAATTATCCTAAGCAAGCATGTGATAATCATATCTACCAGTGACAAGTTACAACTACTCTTTCTTTCCCATTTATTCTATTATTTTCCCAAAGAGGAATTTGTTTACACCTTTTGTCCGATATCCACAATTCTCTGTCTCTGTCATTGGAACTCATGGCTTTCTACCTCAGTATGTTCTCATACATATACCTGTCTTTTCCCCTACCCCACTACTGTCAATTCTAGTCAAAGGATCCATAGAAATTTAAGTGGACTTCTTCGAGTATTCTAACTTCCATTATTGATACTTTCTTCCTTTCTTTTTCCTTTGTTTTTGATTATTTTCCTTACCTCTTTCTTCATTTCAAATTATTTCAAGTTAGATAGAAAAAATGCCTTTTGTTTTGTTTGTGAAACATAAAAGGGCTTTAATCTTTTTTGTTGGTTGGTTGGTTGGTTGGTTGGTTTTTTGGTACCAGGGATTGAATCCAGGGGTGTTTACCACTGAGCTGTATTGTCAGCCCTTTTTATTTTTAATTTTGAGTCAGGGTCTTGTTAAGTTGCTGAGCATTTTTGCTGAGGTTGCTGAGGCGACCTTGAACTTGGGATCTACTTGCTTCAGCCTCTGGAGTTGCTGGGATTACAGGATAATGCTACTATGCCCAGCAAGGGCTTTAATCTTGTCCAATGAGCATATAAAGAGACTCAGAGGAAAAAGGAAAATCAATTTTATATCTTGTTATGAATTAATTTATTTCAATCATTAAGTTTACATTCAGCAAAATTTTGGAAAAATTCCTAGAACCTACCAACCAGAACAAATGTTAATATTTGACTTTATTTATTTCCATAGTTGCAATCATCCTACATAGTGGATGTTGTATCTTGCTTTCCTCTATTTATTTTATAAGCATTTCCCCCATACTACTACTCTGAGAATATAAGAGGGATTTAGCAATGACATTTTGATGGCTGGCTACTTAATGTTGGATGTGCCATTATCAATATCCTGTACATGGATACTTTGTTTCCAATTTTTACATTTCAATAAGTAATGTTGCATTTGACTTTTGAAAAGTCAAACTTTGTATATTATTTTCTTAGGATAGATTTCCTAAAAGGGTTATAAAAATATGACAGTTTTCTAGTCCTCCCAGGGACAAAAAAAAAAAGCCAGACTTGAATTTTGATAGATTGTTGAATCTTTAGAAAGTAGTATTTTTTGGAATAAACAGATTTGAAAATGAAACTGGGTCACTCTTTTCCAAACTCCAAGAAAATAATATAAAGGAGACCTTTTACATTGCCAAATATTTTGATATAACTAAGTGTTATATTTTATTAACGGCATTTTAGTTGAGCAGCAAGTAGAAAAGTTAATGGAGTTTGGGCTGTTTTTAGTGAATACTAAATTTTTGATAGTACTGTTTTGAATACTGTGAACCCTAGTGTGTATACATAGGAGGTGGAGAAGGGTAGAGGATGTCAAGGACAATGACAAACTGATGTTCATTTAAGCCAAGTGATTTAGAGGAACTCAGGTTTGAAAAGAACCATGTGATCATTAATTTTTAGGTAGGAGATCCAGGATAGCCTACCTGCATAAACAGGTCAGTATGTCACATAAGTGTTTTCCAAATTACTTAAAAAAGAGTTTCCTGGGGCTGGGGTTGTGGCTCAGAGGTAGAGAGCTCGCCTGGCATGCATGAGGCTCTGGGTTCGATCCTCAGCACCACGTAAAGTAAAACGAAGACAGTGTGTCCACCTATAACTAAAAAATAAATATTTAAAAAAAGTTTCCTAAGCTGTAAAATTAAAATGGAGCTGGGTGTGGTGGCTCACGCCTGTAATCCTAGTGGCTCAGGAAGCTGAGGCAGGAGGATTGTTGAGTTCAAAGTCAACTCAGCAACTTAGTGAGACTCTCAGTAACTCAGTAAGACACTATCTCAAAATAAAAAGTGCTGGCCCAGTGGTTAAGAGCCTCTAGGTTCAATCCCTAGTAAACCACCCCCTCCTCAAATGGATTGCCTTATGACAGTGCTTTTCTTCACACTGGACACATGAATAAGGAGAACTTGAATTCCCCTTTATCAAAAAATTTTGTGATACGATTCTCCAAGGCTGTCTTTTATTCATTCATTGGACAATTTATGTATGACAGATGTTGGGAATATAGTGGTCAAACAAAAAAAAATCTGTCATAATAGGCTTACATTCTGGCAGGAGATGGAATAAAACAATCACAGATGGTAGTAAAAAGGAAGGAATGGTATGAAATATGGCATGCAAGAGGACAAAAGGTAACATTCTTTTTAAAGGTTATCAGGAGCCCTTAAGATTTACTTTTTTGTCGTCGTCTTTTTTTTTTGGTAACAGACATTGAACCCTGGGTTGCTTTACCACTGAGCCACATCCCCAGCCATTTTTTTATATTTTATTTAGATACAGGGTCTTGCTCAGTTATTTAGGACCTTGCTAAGTTGAACTTGCTGACTTTGAACTCGTGATCCTCCTGTCTCAGCCTCCTGAGCTGCTGGGATTATATGTATGTGCCACTATACCCAGCCACATTTACATCTTAAATAACCTGTTAGTTGTCTCAGAAACTCCTCAAACTTAGTTAATTTAAGATTGAACTCTTCATCTCCTTACCTAAAACCTGCTTCTGTGACCATGATCTTCCACTTAACAGCTAAATTCTCCTTTTGCTTAAGCCATAAGCGTATCATCACTTATACTTCCGGCCTTCTCACCAGATCTCAATAAATTTTTAAAAAACATGGAATGCTTCGCAAAGTCACATGTCATCCTTGCACAGGGGCTGTGCTAATCTTCTCTGTGTGACTCCAATTTTAGTGTATATGCCGCCGAAGTGGGCACAAGTCTCAATATCTTACCAAATCCTTCCATGTATCTTTATTATTACTATTACTGCCCTACTCCAGTTCATCATGCTCATTTGCAGTACAGATGATTCTTGACTTAACAATGTTTCATCTTAAACTTTTTTGACTTTATGATGGTACAAGCAAGAGTGCTACACATTCAGTAAGCATCATACTTCAAATTTTGCATTTTGGTCTTTTCCCAGGTGAGGAATAGCCATAGGATAGTCTCTCTCCATGCTGGGTAGTGGCTACAAACTGCTGCTCCTGGTCAGCTTCAGTTGAGCCTCATGCCACTAAGAGGAAACACAACCATGTCTCTACAGTGTACCCTGTTGCTAAGTTAGGACATTCGGTAGGTTAGGTATATTCATGCATTTTTGACTTATGATATTTTCAATTTAAGATGATTTTATCAGGATAAAACTCCCATCATAGGTGAAGAAGCAAAAATATAGCTGTGGATGGTAGGCTCAGCCTGGGTAGGAATCCAGCTATGTCACAACTTGTATAACACTGGTAAGTCACTCGTTTTTTTTTTTTTTTTTGCAGAAACAGTTTCTGTTTCTGCAAAACAAGAACAATAATAATGTTTATCTCATAGAGTAGCTCTGGATTAAATGAGTTAATACCTGTAAAGGACCTTTAAATGTTGCTTGACCTTTAGAAAACAATTCAGAATGCTGTTTTCTACACACAAAATCAAATGACATATATTAAAATCTGACACCTTACTAAAAACTCTTCAGTTGGTTACCTTAGATAAAGACCAACTCCTCAACACAATTCTCAAGGTCCTACATAACCTGGCCCCTGCCTTCTTCACCTCATTTTATTTTGTGCCGGTATCTATGGCCATGTGGTAGACGTCCAATAAAGATCGAATTTTGGGCTGGGGATGTGGCTCAAGCAGTAGCCGGCTCATCTGGCATGCATGCGGCCCGGGTTCGATCCTCAGCACTACATACAAACAAAGATGTTGTGTCCGCCAAAAACTAAAAAATAAATATTAAAAATTCTCTCTCTCTCTCTCTTTCTTTAAGAAAAAAAAAAATCGAATTTACCTTATAGGGACATTGTAAAGATTGGATTAAAACACATGAAATGCTCTTCTTAGTACATGTTCAATAAATATTAACTATAAAATAATTGTTATTACTTTTTGTGTCAGCAATATTGGGTTTCTTTCATCATATCAAATGCACTACTTTTCTTCCTCTGAGTATTTGAAGTCTGCTTTAAAACTCCATTCTGCCCTCTTCCTTTTTTAAAAATTAAGGAAGAGTTAATTTTTAATTAATGTTGCAGCATTAATTTGGATATTGCCAAATACTAAGAACCATTTTATTTAAATTGTCTTGTTTTCCCTAGTAAATTTATATGTATCGGCTAAATTTGAATGCAGTCAGCTTATTGGTCATATTAAACATCATAAGTTCATGTGAAAGTCTGGATTAGCTGGTTCAAACCAGTCCTACTCTCCTACTCTTGTTACTTCATGTCCTGCTGCTGAGGGGAAATCTGGAAAAGGAGATAACATAGATAATGGTAGAATTTTCCATTATAGAGAACAAGTACTATAATTAACACATATTGAACAATAATAGTACCGTATGGAGAGCCTGCAGAGTAGAACTGTAGTACATTCAAAATAGATTAAATCCTGTTTTAAAAAAATCTAAGAAAAGCATGTGTCTTCAAAAACTTAAACAGAAATTAACTTCATCTTTCTTTGTTTTCTGGCACAAAGTCCAGATATTTTTCCCCTGTCATGTTTGTAAAAAAAAAATAATGTGCAAAAGTATATCACATTTTAATTCTTTTGAGGAGCAGTCTAACAGGAGTTTGGGGAGGTGGTGCTGTTCTGAATAATTCACACCTAAATGAAGTGTGTCTTCTGCTGAGAAAGTGGCTATACCTAGAAGCCAGTGTATTTCAGTTGCATTCTTGGCAGGAATAGCCAGCGTTCAAAAATGTTCTTCTCTCTCTCTCTCTCTCTCTCTCTCTCACACACACACACACACACACACAGAGTTATTTTTATAGAATGAAGGTTATATAATTGTTTGAAATTCAGTTCCTAGCTTAGAAATGGGGGCACTTTAGTTATTAAAAGAAAACAACAGTTGTTGAGTAGAATTTTCATTCATTGGAAATTTTAAAAGGGAAAAGGGGTAGAGAAACAAGAGATGGAGTTGAAGGGGAGAAAACCAGAATGTGGTTTTGTATGTGGTTTTGAATATGTCAAAACCCAGTCTTCTTTGCTTAGAAAAATAGAATTTGATCACCATTAATATTCCAAGAGAAGTCTTGCTACAGCTTCAGAACTGTGTAATCAATTTGGTATCTCCTATGTTATTTAAGTTTATTAAAGCAATCCTGATTTTGGATTTGAAGTATTTATTTCTCAGATTATCAATTATGATAAATTAGTTTTAATTTAAAATTAAATTTAATTTAAATAAACTTATTAAACATAATTAATAAATAATTTTAAAATTAGGCAGCTCCTTAACCTCAACCATACTCTTCCAAGAAAAAATAATAATAGTAATAATAACAACAACTAACAGAGGCTATTTTCCCATCATATCACAAGCTTATGATGTAGATTTAGTTCTTGGACTCAAAGAAAGTTTCAAATGATAGAATTCCTTCATTTCTGACTTATTTTTGGCTGTTTCCCCAACCAAGCCATTACCAGACTTCAGATCTAGGCAGTAGGTTTGGCTGGAGTCTAAGGGAAGTCAGACGCAGAGGCAGGGTAAGCAGTTAGGAGAAGGGAGAGAGAGTGCCAAGAAGCCAGATGGTAGCAGAGGAGCCTAAACAATGGGTTATCGATAACCTGTTCTTTCCCAAAATTCTCTTCACCCTTGGGGTGGCCTCTCAGCTCCAGCAGGTTCCCCTTTTTTTCTGCTCAGAATTCTGAAAGAACTGTCAAGTTCAATTTGAAGTTTTTCTTTGGGTAAAGTCTCAAAGACTCAAATAACCGGTCATTTAAAATCACTTGAAAAAAAAAAACAAAAAAACCACTCATTTTAATGAAACACACACACACACACACACACACACAAAAGCAGATGTATTGTCATTTTATAGAACTATAATGCTCATCCCACAACACAAACACGTATATAACAAAAAGTAGAAAATATTCCTATTATCAAAATAAACTTTTAGTATTTTACATTTTTCACTTTAATCTGGTTTTAACTCTGTGTTCTTAGAGAACACTATTTTTATATTATTTAGACTTTATTATAAATGAAAAGACCAGGAAATCAACCACACTATGAGGTCTTAAAGGTTAGACTTAGGCATTAATTTTGTTTTGTTTATAAGATTATTTTAACTCTACTAAATTAAAATTCTGAATAGGGGGAGAGGGATGAGAAAGTAAAAAGAACAATAATTGAACCCCTCATATTTATCAGGGCCTGTTTTTTGTTTTTAATTTTTAGACAAATTGCTTAGGCAATTTTGAGACAAATTTGCTAAACTGTCCAGGCTGGCCTCAAACTTTGTGATCCTCCTGCCTCAGCCTCAGGAGTAGCTGGGATTACAGGAATGTACCACCCTGCCCAGCTCAAGGCCTGCTTTTTATATGTATCATTTCAGTTAATATTCTGAATTGTATTAAAATATAGCCATTATTAGTATTTACCATATGCTAGGCACTATGCAAAGGGGTTTACATTTCATCTCTCATATAATCTCACTGTTACTTTGTAGTGTAACTGATATTACCATATTAAAAACAAAAGAATCAAGGATGAAAAAATCTCATTTGCTCAAGGTTTCCAAATCTGGAAAATTATGTAGAGTATAAAATAAAGTTTAAGTTTGACTAATTACAAATGCTATGTCCTTTTTGGCATTAACTTTTAAAGGATATTTCCCTGAAATTCAAGAGACATTTTTGCTGTTATGACTGAGAATGTACATTGAGAGGAAGCTTCTGGGATGCCTATAATGTTGTATGCCATGATTTGAATAGTGGTTATATGGAAATGTTGAATTTGTCAGAGTTCATTGACTTTTTCTGTATATATGTTACATTCAATAAAATACTTTTAGCAATTCATAATTAATATAGAAAATGTGAAAAACAGAAAAGCACAAAGTGGGGCAGGGGAAACACCAGTAAGTTCACTACTAAAAAATGAATAATTTTAGAAGTTGATTCATTTAGGAGGAAATTTGGGGATGCATGTACTTTATTATCTTAAAGCAATTTGAGGCAAAAGAACTACAAGGGAAGTTCTCCTATTTAAAAATATTTTTTTGTTACTAAAGAGAAATATAACCATATATGAAAATTTTTGAACAAGTGAAAATTGCTTCATAAGCCCATTTCTACTATAACCACTTTTAATATTTTGGTAAATTGAATGATATTCTCATGACATAAATCATCAACATTATCTTGGGTATAAATAAATTCTTGAAAAGGAAAAAAGGTAATAAAGTTAAACCACGAATCAAAACAGTGCTTTTTGCATATATATGGTAGTCCAGGTTATCTCAGTTTAATTATGCTTCATAGTCTGTTATGAATTGAGTTGAAGGAAGAATCAGCGCACATCTCATTAGAGAAAAACAGCTAACATTTAAACCTGTAAGATTACTTAAACCCCTCAGATTAAAAAAAAAAAAAAGTGGTTATTGAATAATTGTCTCCTTGGTACTCTGGTAGATCAAATGAGAAGAGTCAACCTGTTAATTAACAAAAAATCCCTGAATTAGCAGTCAGGAAATCTAGGTGCTACTTTTGGCTCCGGCACTCAGAATCTCATTGTGGACAAGAATCAATTTCTTTGGACTTTTGTTATTTGAGTTGTAAATGAGAAAACTGGGTTGTATCTCAAAGGACACTTAACATCCAAAATAATTTATGACACAGGGAATACAGCCAGGCCCTGATCAACTTCTTATGGTAATAAAGGATGAATTCACAAAACGGAAACATTCAATAACAGAGAGGCTAGAGCTTGCCATCTTTATTTGCAACCAGACCAGATACAATGTGTTTCCTGTTCTTTGCACAAGTATCCATGGGAAGAGGGGGAGGCCAAGAGAGGACAAGGACAGGATGTCCTTCCCTTACATATCACTCATCACCCTATATTTTTACGTTTTTTCCCCCCATGGACATCAGTTCTGATATCCCAAAAGATCATCCTATGTAACAGAGGATTACAAGTAACTTTTTAGGCTGAGGAAATAAGTGCCCGATAATTTCATTTTCAATTCTTAAGTGTTTTTCCTTCCTTTGTCCCTTCGTTGTAGTGAGTTTTTTAGTGATATAATAATATCAAGGTATTCAGAGAAGGAAAACATTTACAAAACGTCTATTTAAAAAGAATGGACTTGGGTGTGCCTTTGGTAGATTGATAGTGTTGCTAGTATGCAAGTGAAACGTGGAAGAAACTGGGAACCTGACAAGTGAGAAAGGAGAGGTCCCAAGATACCCAAGGGAGATCTGGTCTGAAGCAGAAAGGGACTTTGTTCTTTCAGATAGTGTAGTTTTTTTTTTTTTTTTTTTTAATTGTTCTAATTAGCTATATATGACAGTAGGGAGCATTTTGACATATTGAACACAAATGGAGGATAAGTTCTCATTCCTTTGGCTGTATATGGTGCTGAGTCACACCAGTAATCATACGTTTATATAGGGTAATAATGTCAGTGTAGTTTCAAGACATTGTGTGTGTGTGTGTGTGTGTGTGTGTGTGTGTATGCATGTATGTATATATAAAATCTCAATCTCTGATGATAGGAACTGTGAACTGTGTCATCTATCTTTACAGCTCCAGGGCGCGGGATATAACTGACAAATCAAAATATCTGCTCTACTGAATTGAGCAAAAATCTCGGGGAGTGGGGGATGATAGGAAAAATGAGACCGAAAAAACATATAGCCTCTGTTACTTGATATCTGAAACATTTACAGGATTTACTGCAGGAATACTACAAAGGGAAATGGACTTCAGATGAAAGAGTTTTTCGGACGAGACCTCAACAAACTAGAATTCGGAACAAGCCCCAGGAAGCCGCTGTGTTGTCTTAGGGGAGAGATGAAAATGAAAACTCATCAGGCAACAGGTTTGAGCCCCTCGGGTAAAGAAGGCAAGCGCGACCGCGACACGGAGTTGGCGAGTGGAAGGTTGTGTAGTACCGAGAAACTCGGAAGTCTGAGCTAACAAGAGGACTGAGTGCGGCCGGTTGGAGAACCAACGTCCTGCAGTTGGACAGTATAGCTTGCTTTGAGCTTTTTTTTAAAAAACAAAAAAACAAAACGATCAGGAAGCTCTAAAAGATGTGCAACTCGGGCTGATATTTTAGCGTGATAACTTCCGTGTGTGTGAGAGTGTGTACAACAGGGAGCGCCGACCGTGAACTTCCGCAGCTTCTGCCCGCGGGCTCGGGGTACAGCTCCGCCTAGCCCAGATGTAGAGGAAACCCGCGCTGGGCGCTTCGAAGGCCCCTCGGTGGAGATGGGGCGGAGCAGAACCGCGGCCACGCCCGGTTCTGCAGGCCGCCCGCGCCGCGCCCCGCCCCGCGACTACATTTCCCAGCAGGCCCTGGGCTGCCGCGCGCCGCAGTTGACCCACTTCCCGGCCCGTCACGGGCTCGGCCGGCCCCCGCGCCCAAGCGGCTGCTCCCTGCTGACTGGGGTGTGGGCGGGGAGCGGCGGAGGGAGGAGGAGGCGCTGCTGGCTGCCGCCGTTGCCTCAGCTGCTGGGCGCCTGGGCAGCTCTCTGGGTTTCTGCGGCCGCCATGGACGAGCAGGCGGGTCCCGGCGTCTTCTTCAGCAACAATCACCCGGGCGCCGGCGGTGCTAAGGGGCTCGGGCCTCTGGCGGAGGCTGCCGCAGCCGGCGACGGGGCGGCTGCGGCGGGGGCGGCCCGAGCCCAGTACAGCCTACCGGGGATCCTGCACTTCCTGCAGCACGAATGGGCCCGTTTCGAGGTGGAGAGAGCACAGTGGGAGGTGGAGCGGGCGGAGCTGCAGGTAAAGACCCTCCCGGCCAGGCCCTCTTCATCCCGCCTCTTCGCTCCCTTCCGCCCCGCCCCGGACCCTTCTCCCCCTCCCCCAGTCCTCTCGCGTCCCCTCCCCCTTTGCTCGCGCCCATCCCACCCAGAACCTCATCCCCTTCTTCCCTTCACCTTTGGCTTTCGCTGACCCCACTTTTTCCACCCGGGTTCTCACTCCAGCTCTTGATGCGTTGTTTACCCTCCCCGCGCCTTTTCCTCTGCTGCTTCCCACTCTTAACTCCCAGTCTCATTTCAACTCTCTTGCCATGCTACATCTTAGGGCGTCCCTTTTACTTTACTAATTGGGCTGACAGTAGTTTTGAGAGACACTGAGCAAAACATGCTGTCCTGCCGTGTCCCATCCTAGGTCTGGAGACGTTATCTGCAAAAGGTATTGGTAGTTGACTTCTCTTTCTGCAAGGAAAGTGATCAAAGAAGACAGCCCAAGTTGTGTCAGTGGGGCCTTGGCTTTCAGTGAGAGACTGATGTTGGGCAATAGTGTTAGAAATATCAACTCCCTTTTTATGTATGTGAATGTCTTTTTTTCTGGCCTTTTCTTCTTTTTCACCGCTCCTGCGTTTCGTTTAGTTTCATGGATTTTGAATGAAGGACCTAGGTAATTGTGGTCCAATCATGGTTTGGAGATGGTTCCGGTTCTCAGAATCTAAAACTTGCCAAGAGTTAATTTTATGTTCCATGTTTTGTGAGCTTAACATGTATTTTTAAAGGGGCTAAAGAGGCTTCAGTATTAATTACTTGCCTTACATGATCTGCCAGATGAAATATATCCAGAGGTGAGCTATTGTGGGCCCTGAGAAAAATGAAAGTGAGTTGATACTTTACAGGCCATTCTGAGTTGGTGAGTTGGTTTTCAGTGCTGGTTCTTAAAAGTTATAAAGCACACACTTAATTTCAGGAGGAACTTAAAGAACTGTTATTGGTTGTGCCTGTTTTAGGGGCTAATCCTGTATGCTTAGGAAATTTGAGTACAGTTTTGGTTTGTAAAGTACTTGAAGTTAAAATGCTATCCAGTTTACCCCCCCTCCCCTCTTTTTGTAACATGTATTTTCTTTGGCAGAGAGAGAGGACAAAATCTGTTAAGTAGAATCATATGCTAAAACAGACTGCTTTCGTGGAGTAGAAGTGGTTCTGGAAAGACCAACAAGGCAAGATTATAGTAGACAGGGTTATCAATAAGGACCATGCTTGCTGCTAGCTCTGTGACCTTGAGGAAATCCTTTAACCTCTCTGGGCTTCACTTTCATCATTTACATTCATGACATGTTTACTGAATGCCCACCATGTGTGTCTAGGTTCTGGGATTAACAAAACTGACAGAGCTTCTGCCCTCTTGGAGTTTATGTTTTAGTCTGAAGGCAAATAATCAGCAAGTGCAGCTGTGTAGAATAATGGTTTACAGTGGTAATAGCTGTGGGGAAAAACAAGTCAGGGTACAGGAATAAAGTGTGATGGGGCAGCTGTTTTAGATGGGATCATTAGGGAAGGTCTCTATGGAGATGATGGATGAACAGGTTGAATGAATGTGAAAGTGGTCCATGGTGTCTATGATTTCTTCTAAGTCTGTATTTCTACAGTTGTATGTTTATATTCTTTGGTGACTTTCATTTCTACTGTTATGGTGCTATAATATAGTCCATTTGAAACTTGTAAGTTTTCTCAGAATGAGTCTGATCATGTCTATAATAGTACCCAACAAGTTTGAATGCTTATACATTTTTACCTTTATTAGTAATGCATTGTGTAAATGAGCTTGTGGATTTCAGGCTTCAAGAAAGAGTTAAAGGCAAGGGTTAACTTTAATGTGTGCATTTGCAGGATATGATTTTTTATATAGCTGCTTATATTTTAATTTCTGGCTTAGGAATTGTAAAATAAGTCATGCTAATTTGGTCAAAGCCAAACAAGAACTCAATACTATAAGTAGGAGTTTGGGAATTTCTAATCCATCCTGTCCTGTTCACCCTCTCCCTTATGTTTAAACTTTTTGATTTTTCAGTGTTGTCAATCTTTACTTTTTAACACAGACACACACACGCACAGTTTAAACTTCAGGTAGGTTTCTCATTCATGCTCATCATATTAAGAACAATACATTTTTACAGTGTCTTGATTTGTGCTAAAATTAAGTTCCCATAGAGAAACTTAAAAACTCTGTCATATTTTCTGAACCTAGGTATTAAAGGGGAAGAGGGTTTGCAATAATCTGTGATCTTTGTCTCCCTTATTAGTGAAATTGGAAATTAAAAAAACATTTTTTTTTGCATCAGATCATCATTAAATTCAAATATTTCCCTTCATTTTTCTTCTTCACCATTAGAAATATTCCTAGTAAAACAATAGGAAATACAATAGTTAAATGAATTTTGATGAAATATGTATCATTTTTAATTTTTAAATTTCTTCTCATGTTATTAACACCAACAAAGATTTAAGATTCTGTCTAATTTGTCCCTTCAGGAACCTGTCAATTCTGCTCTTTCAAGTTGCTAAGGCAGAGTTTTCAAAGGCAATCCAAGGTCCCAACTACCTGGCCTGCCTCTGCCACCTTCAGATTTTGAGAGTAAGGAAACAGCTATATTGTACTGAAAACTTTTGTCATTTATTTTCCCAGGCACATTTTAATAGACTGTCTATTAACTTTTGGCAATGCTCTCCCACTCTAATAGGCTATTCATGGGAGAAAAAAAGAATAATCAAGGTATTACTGAGCTTTACATGTGTGAAAGGAATTGGAGAAGGAATACTAATAAGATTTGAGAATATTTTCTGTATGTGAGACATCGTGCTAGAAACCCCAAAGAAACATGCAGTCTAGTTAGTATAATAGAAAATAAACAATATGTAGAAGAATCAGAGTTTCTAATTTGCTAGGAAGGTTAATTTTCTTAGAATAGCATAAGAGGGAAGAATTGAAAGTGAAGGAAAGGAGAGCTGGAGGAAAATGCTTTGAGTTAAAGAGAACCCAAAGGTCAGTATTTGAAAATTTCTAACTATTAGGAAAGCAAATATATGAATCACAAAATTTAGTGGCCCTAGCTGGGAGCAGTGGCACAGTGCTCACAACCCCAGCAGCTTGGGAGGTTGAGGCAGGAGGATCACAGGTTCAAAACCAGCCTCAGCAACTTGGATCCTGTCTCAAAATAAAATGTAAAAAAGAGTCTGGGGATGTGGCCCAGTGGTTAGGTGCCCCTGGGTTTAATTCCTGGTCCTTCCCATGACCCATGCCCTAGATTTTTGGGGATTACTAGGGTTTGAACCCAGAGGTGATTTACCACTGAGTTGCATCCTCAGCATCCCTCCTTTTTTTGTTGTTGTTAATTTTTAAATTGAAACAGCGTTTCTTTAAATTGCTGAGGCTGACCTCAAACTTATGATTCTCCTGCCTCAGCCTCCCAAGTCACTGGAATTATAGGTGTGCACCACTCACTGTTCCTGGCTTCGCCCTAGATTTTGATGATTATGTGTGGTAGAATTGGAAGAGGCTTGGATATTTACCAGAAAGTGCTAGAATTGTGTGTAGTTGGTGATAAGATTGTGTAGGGCATGTGGTGTGGAGGTTGTATGCTGGAGTATTCATGAATCTGGGTTTTGTCAGTAATAATTTATATTTTCATTCAGCAGATATTTCTTAAGTACCTACCTCATGCTGTATCCCATTTGAGGTACCAGAAAAGATACAACAATGAAGAGAGAATGAAGAGATCTTGCTCTAATCAAGTTTAAATCGGGAGCAGACAGTGATAAATACATACATAACATATTGGAAGGTGATAAATGCCCTGATGAGATAAGGAGGATGTGTAATACTTGAGAGGGGAAGAAAGTTTTTACTGATAAGATGCCATTTGAGTTAAAACCTGAAAAAGTAATAACCTGAAGTGAAGCTGTGTAGGCAGGGAAAGCAGCCAGGAGAAGGGGGAATGCTTGAAATGTTTGGGGAATAACAAAGAGGCAGATGTGGCTAGAGTAGAGAAAGCAGATGGAAGAAATAATGTCATAGAAGTACTGAGTCTTGCCTATTATACCTCAGCAAGATGGGCAGCCATTGTAATGTTCTAATCAGAGAGCAGAGGTAATGCTGTCTTTAAAAAGATCCCTTTGCCAAAATGAGAATAGATGTGGAAGGGTAGAAGAAGCAGGAAGACTAGTTAGGAGGCTGAGTTAATTCAGGCTAGAAATGAATGAGGGTGGCAGGGATATATGAATGTATTTTTTGTTATGTCATCAAAGTATAATGGATTCTGAACAGCTTTGAAGATACAACCAGCAAGATGTACTAGGCGTTGGATGTAAAGTTTGAGAAAAGGGGGAGTCAAAAATGATTGAAACATCTTTTGATGAAGTGGCTTCATAAAACTGTGGAGAAGACTTTCTAAGCATTTAAGTGGAAAAAGTAAGCACTTAAAATGACGTTTATTTTTATTATTATGATAATATATAAAATATTGTGAAAGGCACAGTGGTATAGACCTTTGTTTAATTCCATGCTCTACAATTTACTGTTGTATATCATGCCTTTAATACATATTTGCCAAAATGACCTTTCAGAGCCTTGATTTCTTGTGTGTAAAGTGAGGATAATTAATTGCCTTGTGAGACTTAAATGAGTTATTTTAAAGTATCTGGTACAGGTGTGCTACATAACACAAAATAAGTGCTGAATAAATAAATAGTAGCAAATGCACTGTGTTAAGTTTTACTCTATTTCTTTATCCCCAGAGAAAAGTATAATCTTCAGTCATTAATTCTTTCAAAGCTACAGCATGTATGTGCCGTCCTGGGTCCATGCAGTCTAGTATTCTGGTTCTGACCCTTGCACTAATGATGATCTTGAGTATCTGCTTCAAAATAGTTATATAGTTTGAAAGTACTTGCTCTCTTTAATAACCCCCAGGCATCTGCTATCTTGGAATTCATATGAGCTCTTCTGAATATAATTATCTAAAGTTTGCATTA